GACAGCTAGCCTGGCCTGGAGGACTGTCCTGTTCTCCTGAAGCACTGGAGTAGCAGATGACCTCTTGAAGTAGTGTGTGAGGTAGGACATCTGGGCTTGGAATGGTCCTGCAGTCTTATAGCAAGGCATCACAACCAGCCTCTACCTGCTTGAGTGTTAGAAATTATTTATTTAAATATTAAAGGATTAGCTTTAGAGTTCCAGAAAAAAATGCATATTTGGAAAATAACCCATTTTGAAGTTTTCATAAAGAAATCCAAAGTTTGCCTTTGAAACTTAAGCATTTTGTACAGAATATTTCAATCGTGATTTTCCAAGTCATAGTGTCAGTTTATGATTTCATTGCATGAAGTGGTCATGCTTAACTCGATAGAGCTGAAAAGCTGCACTTTATTAGAACTATCGAATATAACAAATACACATTACTTACAAACATTGCATCTTCTTTGCTATCCTAAAAATCCTGTGTGTGGAAATAGTCTGAAGCTTTGCAGTAATATCCAGTACATTTTGTGTCTGTTTAGAATATGTGGGTTTTTCCCCCTCCCCACCCTCAATACAAAAGATAGTGCTGAATTATCAGAAGATTGTTTGGGTTGTGGGAAACATGCTTCCTATGTTTTTTAAATTCCTGCCAAATTGCTAACAATGATTAATATTTTCTTTCCTTCTGTCAAAAGAGTGCATATTTTAAACTATCACGTCATTACTTTAAATATATTGCATAGTTCCACAATGATGCTTCCAGTGTCCCACTCAGAGCAGCCTTAAATAGTTATTTAAGTTGATGTAGTTCATGAAAACTCATAGAGAAATCTTGGCAGCAACACAATGAATTACATACAATATTTCTTCCCCAAATATTCAGCTGTAAACCCCTTTGTACCCTAGCTAAATCCCAGCTGCTAGCATCAACCCTCACTAATAACAACATGCCTTTCTAAAAGGTCACATCCCTCAACTTTTCTTGCCTTAAGAACAGAAACAGAACAGCTCTGCAAAGAGATGTCACTAAAGACAAAAGGACATGTAATGTCCTTTATTAACTTACTGTTCCTACTAAAAAAAGTGCCAAAATTCTTGAGAAATACAAATCCAAAATATTCTCCTTTATACTCCAGCCTTCTAGGAAGGAATTCACATTGTGCTCACCCCCAGGTTGTTCGCTCTTACTCATATCAACCCACATATGTGTCACTTCCGACTGTCAGATATTTTGAGAGAGTCAAAGCAGCCCTGGTTCCTGCAGCTGGGCCCAACTTTACTTGGAGAATTCAAGAACATCTGCACAACTTCTGGAAAACTTGGGCAGAATTTGCCATTTTTGATGATGAAAATATGTTTTGGCATGGTTTCAGATTTCCTAAAACATGCCCTAGGTGTCTGAAGAGCTACACCCACTGAGTCATTAATTGCAGCAGCAACTTCTATCCCTATGTCTAGTTCTCCTGGTCTAATATCTTCTCTGTTCTGCCCACTCCTCCTTTCTCCCTTTCCTGACAATTTATTCCCTTCTTTTCAGTCTAAAAGGCCAAGAGCTTGTCTGTAGGAACTGCCTAGGTGGAGTGGACCATCAGCACACCCAGGCTACAACCAGCAGTGCTGGCAAAAAGAGTACAAGATTGCTTTTTCTATCACTTTGTTAACATTGGCTAGGGCATCAGCACTGCAAAGAGCCTTGAAGACCACCCTCCAACACTGCCATTCTGCAACAAAAAGCAGTTTGCTGCAGCATTCTGCGGGGTCCCTCACCTGCTTCCCCTGTCATTTTGCATGTGCACTTCAAGCCAGTAGCAAGAAACCAAAGCCAGAGAGACGGGTCTAATTTAGGCAGAAGCTCAGAGTGGATGTTAAGTAAATTTTCCCTAGTTAATATTAAATCTCTTGTTCAAGGTAAGGAAAAAAAAAAAGATTTTTTTTTTTTAAATCAGTGTCACATAATAACACTGGCAAACCTACCATACATCCTAGTATCTTTATTCTTTATTTCATGCTGGGAAAGAAGCCAAGACTTAAATAAAATCGTACCTTGGCTCTCAAGCTTGGCAAGCTTTTGCTCCTAATACAAAACAAATCAGTAGAGGGGTGTTTTCTGGCTCTACCACCAGAAATAATTTTATTTTCCAACATATGTTTCTATTGGCTATGAATGATATATATTCTGGTCCCACATCTTCATGTAGTTGTGAAGGTCCTTTAGGTAATAGGATAGCATCTTTTTTGCACAAACTCTTACAATGCAGCCAGTAAATCTCAGATGGGAGCTAAGGAATTTCTTCCCACTGCCCCCCACCAATCCCAATCATAACCCATTTATCAAAACTATTGCTTCCCACACCTACAGCCTGTTCTTCCTGAGTTGGCTTATAAATACAATTCACTGCATCAAACTCCCATGGCTAATATCATAAATTCTTGTCTCCCTACATTGGCAGAAGTACCAAAGCTTCCACCAAACATCTTTAAACTTCACTCCAATACAACCTCTGTTCCATGCTTATTATCTCTATCATCATCCAGAGAGAAATCCTCTTTGTGTAGCTCTCCTGCACCTCATGATTTTGGAGTTTTTCCTCCCTGCTTTTGCACTTTTTTCCTGAATTCCTCCTGTAGTCAAGTCAGTTACACTGAGAAGACCATCATTCAGTAAAATAATTCAAAAGGAATCACCATGTCCTAGAGTGCTCAAAAACTGGCAAATCCACAACAGGACTCTTAGCTCATCTGAGGATTGCATACACCAGGCAAAACTCTTTTGAAGATGCAGACACCTACTGTGGTACTCTGAGCAGTACTAAATTATTTTCTAAAAAAATAATCAAGGACCACTATATGCAGAGCTAGACCCTACAGCCTCAGATAAACAGATTTTAACCACAATTTGTGGCAGGGGAAGGGAATGAGGTGGTAAGAGAGGCCACCACATCCTGACCAGAGGAGCCACCTCCACAACAGTCCACCTCCCTTATAACCTGCAGGTGGGCTAGGACATTATCCCTGAGCCCAGGACATCCTTTCCAGCAGACGTTACCCTGCTCCATGCAGGCCTCCTCAAATCTGCCTTTGCTCCCCCAAGACAGGGGCAGTCACTTTTCTCTGCAAAGATGACTTACAACATAGGAAGAACCTGGATCTGTTCTCCCAGCACAGATCCTGCTCCTCCTGCAGGTTTTGCAGTTCTGCCAGTTAACTTTGCACAGGGGAGAGAGTGAAAACAGACTCAGTCACCAAAGAAAAAAAAGACAGAGAGTACCAAAGGTAGAGCATCAAGTTCTGATGTAAACTCAAAATACAGTGAAACTAAAAATAGCAACACAAGATAAAGCAATGCAGCATTGGTGCTGAAGGGAACAGGGATGTCAAGAGTACAAATACAGAAAGGAAGAATCCTTTGCTAGAATAATTATCTACCTAAAACAGAACAATGTGGAATAAATATAGAAACCTTCTTGCCAAAAGGGCTTCTGCTCCCACACCAATGAGTAAGAGAGAAGAAACACAAGAAATTATAGTGTAAAAAGTAAAAATGTTCTTTTTTCTCAACTACAGAGATATTTTTCTGATTTATCTTTGATTGTATTGCATACAGATTTTCTTAATTAAGAGATGTTGTAGAAAGAAGCTAAGGCTGTGCATCCCCAACCTACATGGCCGAGAAGGTCTAGCAAAGCTAGTAGATTATTTGCTCTTATAGTGTGGCAAGACCCAACAAGAAATGAAAAGAGATTGCAAATGTACACTGTAAAGATCAAGGAGAAAAATAAACCCTAACTTCCAGGTCTTGCTTAGGGCAGCTGCTTACCTTATTTCTGGCACATAATTTTCACCCCACTTATATGGGCTGTGTTATAGAATAATTCCACAGATGCCAGCAGATGTCATATTTTTGGTATCTTTTGTACAATGTTAGCTAGGGTTGGTATCAGGGAAAGATGCAATAAAAATAAAAAGCCCTCCATTTTTCACAACCCCATTCATTGCATCAAACTACAGCCTCAAGCTGAATGAGAGTCTGCAGAAATCAAAGGGGATTTTTTTCCTTTCTCCATTTAATTTTCTCACACACAGTTTGCTTTCTTTCTTAGTGGGACTAAAATCAGGTGGTAAGGGATTCAGATATCTGGGAACAGAGGGTGAACTCCTACGTTTCAGGAGCACCACACATGGGTAAGCTGAGCATTAAAAACAAGCATTTGGTGCACACAACTTCTTGCAAAAGTGTTATTTCATAGTGCAGTATTCTAATTCCGTAAAACAAGCCCAAATGCTCCAGAGTGCTTTCCATGTTTGAAAGGAGCAGGACCACAGGACCAGACTCATGGGCTTTATAGGACTATAGTGTTTCTCTTTTCAGCAAGGCAAGAAGAGAGCTGCCTCTAATGAACAACCATCCTTCCTAAAAGCTGGACAACAACCAGGCTTTAACTCCATGGAGTCTTCCCACCATCCATGAATAGCACAACAAACTCTTATGTTTCAATCACAACACACTACATGGTTTTTGGTTATGTAATACATTAATACAGAAAAAAATTAACTGGTAATTATCATATTTTGGAATTTTACCTGTTTTGTAGTGATTGTCTATGCATTAGGCAGTGTCAGAGATCACTCATTGATCATTAGTACAACAAACTACTCCAGTTAGATATCGGCAAAGAATTAGGAAACTTGATTGTATTAAGTTCAACAAAGTCAGGTAAAAGGCATGTGAATTATGTTACTTCCTTTAACTCCTCTTCATGTGCAGTTAATGAATATAGATTCCCATCTTCAAGTTAGTACTGTATGCCACATATAAACACTTTGATTTTTATTGTTCCTCTGTTCATTTACTTAATTTAACATTGTATTTCTATTATTCCCCATTCTTGAAAAAAGAAACACAATACAATGTAAATTCTTTGGGCTTGAAAAGGCTCAAATTACCAGGAGAGAGAGAAGAAAAAAGAGAGAAAAAAAAAACCAAAACAAAAACAAAAAAACACGCATGTACTTACGACCAGAGAGAATTTCTTCCTTGTGTGATAACTCCAGTGAATTTTGTTAGCCTTCGAGCGTCTACTTCAATCCACTGATACGGGTCATTTCTTCCTGCACACCAAGCACCATCATAAAAATCATTTTCATTAACACCTGCCTGAAAAGAAGGCAAAGCTGTCTTCATAAATCAGAACCACAAAACCAAAGGTCTTTCATGGGAAAAAGAAAACATGAGGTCATCGTTCATTCCACTTTCTCTTTTTGCTCAAGCACATGTTCCAAGGCCCCTGAGACTGTCACACTCAACAGTTAGACTGAGCTACGAAAATATTTTTCTTATTCAAATAAAAACAAAACAACCAGAAAGCCTACTACTAACTCTCTTTAAAAGTTAACAACCTGAAATATGTGTTTAATGTATAGTTATAGACAAAACTTAAGTTCTAGGTAGTTCACCTTTGTCTGATGGCAACCTAATGGAATACCTATCCAGAAAAAGTTATCCACATGGTCTTCCGAGTTATGCAAGTTCTAAAAAGCAAACTCCAATTCAATTAGAGAATGGTTAGATGTGGAATGACCTCTTTTTTCACTGAAAGTAGCAGAGAACATAGGGTATACAAAAACTTTTTCCACCAATTCTTATACCTAGAATTACATAATGTTCATTACTAGAGACTTTCAGGCCTTACAGCAAATAAATATCACAGGATAAGACTTTAGGAATGTCCAGCTCCCAGATCTACTCTAACTTATGCCCACCTACACGTTGGTTTATACTGGCAATAAATAACAAAGTATTCTGGACTTTTTTGAAAAATAGCTGCAAGGTCTTTTCAGCAAGATGTACTCTGAAAACAAATGAAGCAGCATTTAGAGAATTGTAGCATTTGAGGTCTGTGCATATTCATCCCACTACTAAAACCCAGGAAGTGTTTTGCACCAAGCTGGTTGAAAAGTCATCGAGAATGCACAGAAGCTTTTCCATACGGTCCTCAAAGCTACATGCAGTGTTATGGTATTTCTTCTGTATTTAACATGGGTTTATCATTGCCATCCAGGCAATTCTAAGAACAGGCATTCTTAAATGTTTCCCAGTCATAAGTGAAGAGGACAGAAAACTTTGTAAGCCTACATTAAAAACAAGCTCTTAAATTCTGGCATATAGTTATTCTTTCTTCACTGATATAACCTTAATTATTGTATATATAAAAGAATAAATACCCAAGAACACTGTTGTTAAATTGTCTGAATCATCTCTTAGCATCCCACTGAGCAGTATTAGCAGAGATTATGCAGTCACAGCAGTGTCAGAAAGGCAGAAATTGATGTGTTTGTCTGCATCCATTTTTGCAGAGTTTCTACTTAAAGGGACTTTGAGGCAGACCTAAGCCACAAAAGATGCAGCTTGGACCCATTTCTTTGTCCAAGTCTAGATCCATCCAAAAGATGTCCAGCAAACTGAAGACATATATGCAATCCTAAAATTTCTTATTTTCTAATGTATCAAAGCCTAATAGTTTCAGGCACGCCATCTCAGTTTTACTGCCTCTGCCAGACTTAGATAAACTCAGTTGTCTCTACTAGCTCTGACATATAGGAAGTGAAGTTTGTGTACAAACTGAAATGTAAGATACAAAAGAAAATTCTATTTTACACCAGAACACAATTTTTTCAAGGAGAACTGAACAATGGGAAAAGGAGAGAGAATATAAATATGATCACTGACCTGAGTTATAACCTTTTTTCAGGAAAAGGTTTCAAAGTATTTTAAAATAAGATGGGATTTGAAGTAGCCTTAGGGTTTAAAACTGGTGCTTGCCAGGAAGTATTAAGATCCACACAGCACCTTGAACCAGCACCGTACTAATCCCACTTGCACTGCTGAAATATCACCAATTTCAGTGGACCAAATACATCACTGATAGTGCTTCAGGTGGGATTTTTTTGGCTTAGGAGTCTCTCATTCAGAACAAGGGCATTATACATAAAGGCAAAACTCATCAGAGTGTCAGTCTGTCCTCTACGTTATAATGAACAGAGAAATCAGGAGAAAAGGAAGAGTTTATTTTAAAAAAGAATAAAAACACCCACAAAATTACATATTTAAGTTTCCGTAGTTTCCGCTGGACTTGATTAGAAGCTTGGCACATGTTTAAGTCCTATAGTGAATATGGGGAGTCCAAAGGGTATGATTACAGTTACGCAAATCTTAAAAGAACGGTGCCAAAGTAAGAGCATAAATCTCCCTGTTCCTACTACTACTTCCTGATCCCTTTTTTACTTCAACTTTTCGTAAGCTAAAATATTTTTCACTAGGAATCTAGGAAGTAGTTGTGTATAACTATCACTGGATATTGCTTGAAAAACATCTTAATTAAAAAAATCTTAAAAAAAAAATCTCAGATAATATCTCTGTGTCTGTCAAAGCCAGGATTCTGTCTCTCTTCACCACCATGACCATCACACGCCCCCTGCCCCACACCTTTTTTTCCCCCTCACCAGGAAAAACAAACAAACAAACAAACAAAAATTTAAAGAATGAATTTCCTTGATTGACACTTCAAAATGTTTTCTATAAAAACATTACAGATTTGAGCAAATATTAAATAACGTGTCACTAAAATATTTGGAAAATTCTAATCTTCCATATTGAATGATGAAAATCATGACATACAGAAGATGAAAAAGGATTTAAAAAAAAAAAAGAATGCATTTTAAAAACTGACTTTATCTTTCTAAGTAGAAGAGTGCAGGAGCTAACAAAAACTGGAAGCAAGGACTAAGTCTTAAGCAAACTTTCCCCCCCCGCCCTCTTTTCACTGAATTTTCAAGAACACCTCTAAATCTAACCATACTTAAATTTTCTCACATCTAAATGCAACATTTATTGTGCTTTTGAATACCTCAAATTCCAAACACCAGCTGCTGAAGATCACTAGCAAAGAAACAGTCCACTACCAAACTTCTCCAGAAATCTCTCTTGCCTTGTTATATAAAATGTGACCTTCTGTATATAGAAAAAGGATTTGCCCTCATCATTGTTCAATAAATTATCTATAAACTTAACTGTTGAAAACTGTGATTCAGGCAATACAGTGACTGTTTGTGCAATGCATACGTAGGCTCTTGGAAGCTAAAATGAAGCACACAAAAGCTTGTGATTCCTTTACAGATTATATGACTTCTGACCTTAATTCATACTTCTCTTCTGACTTAAAGATTTGCAAGACAGAATAAGTCCTTAGTCACTGTTCAAAAAGCCTTCTTCTATAATGAAGAAACATTATAGCTCAAATGTATTCAAATGAAGATCAAAATTTCAGTCTTCTACAAGTCAGCAGCATCAAAAAATGCCAACAGCAAATGACTTAGGCATAAGTTCTTCTCAGTTCCCAAAAGGATGACAACAAATATTATCCTGCTATAGGTAAAGAAAAAGGAGGGGATTCAATATATATATATATTTAAAAAAAGAGACATTCACAAATGTAGCTTCTTGGTAAGTCAAATGAGAAGTTGCATGTGTCATCACATGCCCATCTAGACCAGCCCAGCCTCCTGTCCCAGCTGGAGCAGCTCCTCCACTTCAAACTAAACTCCCCTTTGATATACCTACATATGGTTGCAAGGGTATATTTTTCAAATACTACTGAAATTCAGAAGTCCTGAAAAAAAATCGAGTGACAGAGAAGTGTAAGTGGTTTCAAGAATATAGAAAGGTTATCAATTCTAAGTCAATCCCAAGAAGTAGTAGAAAAAAAACAAAGGAGAAAAGCCAAATGCAAGACTACTTTTAACATTTTCAGTCACAGTGGCAACTCTAAGTCATCAAGAGGCTTAAGAAATTACAGCATATAAATAAGTAGTAACATGGAAAGTTTTGCTTTGAGGATTACTAAAAATGTCTACTAGAGATAAAGACGTAGGAGAGAAAAAATGCTGCATTCAAAGGGGAAAAATAAGTCAGGAAAAAAAGGAACAAAAAAAAAAAAACAAAAAATTGAAATCAAACATTGCTTATGCTAGGTACTCTTGAGTTATTCATATATAAACCTTGAAGAGCCATTGGGTGAGATTATATATATACACACATATATATGTACCAGAAAAGAATTAAAACAAAACAATTCACACAGGAAGGAAAATTTGTGTGGAATTAATACAGACTTTCATCTTGTTGTTGCTCTCTCAAACTTTATCATCCACAAGCATGACGTCATGAAAACTTTTGTTCCTAGGAACAAAAATGCTTTTTCTAAACAGAGATCTGAAACAAAGGCACAAAGAAGAAAGCAAAAGCACTATTTTAATTGGCACTGGGACTAAAGGTCTTTTCATCCAAGACGTCTGCGCTGGACTCCGGTGCTGACACAAGACCTGGAGCGCTGCACAGGCAGAGAGACCTTCTGCTCTGTGTAAACAGAGAGAAAAGTTCTGCCAAAGACGTGGCACCAGCATCACTGCTGTGATCAGCAGTGCCCACACACTGCTGCAAACCAGTGCTGAGATGCAGCAAACGAACATGGGACAAGGTAAATACAGGACTCCCTGTCTGCTTTAAGGCTACAGCAGGGCTAGATGGACACCTGGGCTGAACCAGTATGGTCATTCTTCTGTTTAAATGAAAACATCAAACAATCAAAAAAAAAAAAATAAACATCCCCACTGTTTCAGCAGAGGTTCTATCATCAGACTGAGCCTATCAGATCAGATTGAGTCTATCACCAGACTGAACTCAAGCCTAAAGGAGCAATTGCTCCATGGGTACCTCCTTCCAGCACCACCTACCATTACCCCAAACTGGGCATCATGCTGGTGGGAGTTCATGGTTCATAGTCCCTTTCTTTGTCCATTAATTAGCAATCCTCTTCAGTTAGAGGAAAAAAAAAAAAATCTAATGGAGGGTTAAGAAAAGTTTACTAGTTAACTAACCTAGTTTTGTGCATTTTTTGCTGTTGACTTAGTGATCGGTGTCTGGTATACAAGCTTGAGTTTCAAGTGTTCTGCTTTCTTGTGGAAAAGAAATATTTTTACCCTGGAAATAACCATAATTCAGAAAGTATCATGAATAAAGTAGCAAAAAGAAATACAAGACATAGAAATAGAAGTTGGCCCTGCAAGACACAAATCTTAATGATAAAATAAAAGCAATTAACCAGACAAAAAGTTGTATGCCAAAGGCTCCTAACATGCAGCATTTTCTGTAGTATTATCATTGCTTTTGAAAAGTTGCCTTAGGATAATGCTTCATTTAAAACCACAGTTTCTATTAACCACTGTCATTAACTACAAGCAAAAAACAATAAAAAAAGAAGCAGCTTGCTTCATAAGCTTCCTCAATCTCACTGTTAACAGAGATGGGATGGTTTCCAACAGGTGAGAGGGATTTCTGTGTCACCTCACCTCTACCTTTACTTCTGCAGAGTGTTCTGTGAGGACTTGAATCCTCAGCATGTTAATTCAGGAGCACTTTCTAAACCAGGAAATAAGCCCCAAACTTTACAAGTAATCCATCAACCTTATTCACTGTTGTAATTCCAATGTTTCCCCTTCATTTGAATTACATGAGCTGACAAAGTAGTCAGAACCAATAACCATCCATTGGTTCTCCTTACAACAACACGTCCTTAAGCCATTCTACCACTTAGGAGGAGAATTGATGTTACCTGAATATTCAGCCTTCCTCTGTGGGCCCCAAGGCCATATCGCTTTGCGGTGGAAGCATGGAGCTGGAAGTCAGTAATTTTTAATGTTTCCAAACCAAGTGGAGGACAATCTGCAAAACAAAAGATTACAATTTATTAAATAAATAAACAAAAATAAAAAAGCATTTTTTTTTCTTTTATATGGGCCAAGCTAGTTGGAGTCCTTGTGGGATAAATGAGTATTGAACCAATAAAGTCAAAGTGGCAGCACCTGATGTAAAATCAATGCTGATTTACACCAGCTGAAGAGCTGGCTTTTTGAGGTTCTTATAGTATAGTTGTTACTGCTTTCTATATGCTTTTGTTTTTTACAGATATGACCAGTATTTCCTGTCAAGTGCTTAGAGTACAAAGCGCCAATAAAATGGCGTTTTATTTGTCTCTCTTTTGGCTTTTTCTATTTCATCTCTTGTTTTGATTTTTTTCCCCTGTACTCGTTCCAAGCTACTGTATGAAGTTATGTTTCTAATTAAAATCTATTCTGGAAACTTCAATCACAGTCGCTCGCATTGCACAACAGCATCTGTTGCAGAGGGCCAGACTGCTGAGGCCGTGACGAAGCACAGACGGGGCCGTTCTGAACCAAGGGGGCACCTCTCTAAGCTCCAAATTGTGCAAAGCCTTGGACGAAGAGCAGCAGATGCCACTGCCTTCATAGCAAGCCAGTAATGCAGCAAACTGCAGCCTGGCTTTGGAAGATAAGACTTCAGAAAAGGCCGACTTCTTCAGTACTGGAAAAACGTGACCCCAGTCCCCACAGAATTTGAGTCCCCTACAGCATATTTATCCTTAAAATGCCAGGGTGAGGGTGGGAAGATCAACTATCTGTGTTACATGGAACACAAACAGGAAGCAGAGAGGTGTTTTGAGGGCAGCTAAGCTGTACAGTAAAGGCAGCACCAGGTGGAATTGGAAAGTCTGCACAGGACAGAGGTAAAAAGCAGTACTTTATAGGTCTGGTGCCTTTTAGGGTAGACTTAGTTTTGCAGTGCCATGACCATAACGACTCTGCTTTTGGGGAGAGGCCAGATATTTTTTGCAACAGATCTCTATTGTGTACAGGAGGTCTGTTCTAATTAGCATGATGGGCTAGACGGGTCAGAAACAGGAGCTGAACATCGGTCACAAATCCTTGGCTGTATTTCTAGTGCCTTGGCCACCCTTACTTGCAATCCCTACACCATCCTAATTTGCTGCCTTGGTTGAAAGTCGTGATTGAGATCTCACTTGTGCCACAGTTGCTGGACAACTGTCAAAGTACTTTTCCCCTTGCTCTATAACCATATCCCAATTGCAAATATCTTTAATTGCTCATCAAAACTTTGTGACAGTGTGTGCTCTAGAGTCTCATCCTGGCCTTGGCCACCTTTCCCATACAGTTTTGTGTTACCGCACACTAACTGGCAGAACATGTATGCAATTTCATATGCTCATCCTTAGCTCATGGACAAAATCCCTCAGGAAAAATACTACATACTGCCAACTCATGCTGGTATTGCTTTGTTCATCCTTAGAAAAAAACTTGCAGAAACCCATGGCCAAAATTCTATGTTTTCATCAAAGGCTGTAAAGACAAATGCTAAATATTAATGTATTTTTTGAAGTACTACCCATGATCTTCACATTACACAAGAGACAAAATGTAGACAGTTCCTCCTTTAGAAGAGCTTCCAATCTAATTATCCAAAACGGAGAAGATACAGGATGCATAAGGAAAAAAAACAGAGATAGGAGCAGCTCAGAGGAGTTTTGTTTCACCAGCTGATTGTTTTAATCATATTCCTTTATACGTAAGTGTTTCATCTTTCATTGTACTCTGAGTAGAACAAGTCTTTGGCTCTGGGAGAGCTCTGCTGGGAGCACATTATATAGCTGGGAACTTCCTGCCTTCCTTTAACAAGCTCAGGCATCAAGTCATGCTTGGAGATGAGTCTCAGTGTGTAATCCAGCAAACTCTTTTGCACTTTAGGATATTTTCCTCTGCATACAGTCACTTACAAGGGCTACTTGGAAATACTAGCAAGAGCAGACACCAGGTTTGAGCTTAAAATAAAAGCAAGCTGCTGTTATGTACTCAGGACTTCATAAAACTTCATTTACCTCTATGTCTATGTGCCTCACCTAATAGAGGCTAGAAGGGCAATCTACAGGCATTGCTATAACTTAATAAAAACGTAGACAATTTTCCTCAAAGTGAATAGCCAGCTCCATCAGCAATGGTTCTGATGCAGCTTGGTCCCTTCCAAATTGCATTTCAAAGTCAGGTTTTCTGTTATTTAATAGGGAGCGGCAAACACTTGAGGAGCCACCTGATCCTGTTATTCCTCCCAGCACTCTTCTGTATGACTAACCCACACAATTTGTGTTGCATCGTCCTCAGCAGCGATATTAGGAGAATTTCTCTCCTCCGTACAGAGCTCTATTTTCATGAAGCCCACAGGAACACGCTCTTGGGGAGGCTGCTTGCTGCCTGTCAAACCAGCCTGAGTTATCCTTCAGGTTTAGGCATTGCTGGAGTGAGAGACGTACCCAGACACTACCAGCATGTATATAAGCCCCTTCCCCACAATTAATTCTTTGGAAAATCAAGCAAAAAAAATACACATCAGTTCACAGACAAGACTCAGACTTGGTTTCACCCAGATTGAAATATTATTAATTTATTATAAAACTGTAACATCCTGGGATTGCCTGTGGATTTCAGGCAGTTTCTTAAATGGTAGCACAAGCTATTTACAGAATGAAAAAAAAAGTGGCCTGCATATATTTGTGTCTGTTATCCATGTTTCTACAGAAAGTGAAGTCTGATAATATCTCAAAAAAACATTTAAAAGCATCTCAGCTAAACATGCCTGACTGATCTTTACTTTTTTAAGTATGAATTATTTGTACTGTCTGTGAGTGCATTAGATTAATGAGCTAATATTACAAAATGCTCAATTTAATGAGAGCTTTCAGGGAAAGCAAGATTAGGCTCTAAGGGCAGGCATAAGGTGTCTGTGATATAGATACTTCTGATTAAAACCACAGCAGTAAGTTGATCTCTCTTATTGACCTCAAGTCCTACAGTATTTTAGGTGAAATCATTCAGATTTCACCTTCTTGGGGAATGAAAACTAAAATTCAGGTTATCATTTCTAGCCATAAATTTGAAGCTCTATCTTACCAACTTACCAAATCATTTTAAAACTTTCTTTTAATTTCATAAGAAAAATTAAGTATCTTGTTCCAGCACCTGTCTGAAAATCTATGCAAGATATTCCCTTCACAGTCAGCCTATCTCCAGAGATGTTCCCACATATGGGAGCACAAGACACCATTGACCTTTAGAGGTTTCTCTTCATGTAGGTCTTCACAGGGCTAATAATCTGGGACTCATCAAGTCTATTGTTTGCAGTAACAACAATACATGGAATTTGTGCTATATTTCACAAGAGAAGATCTTAGATTTAGCTTTTAACTGTAGTTACATCTTCCATAAATAGGCAAAATATTTCCTTGCTAACTCTTTAGCAAGATTATTTTTTAACATGTGCATATGAATTTCATCATCAATAATAGAATAAAACGAGAGATATATTATACCAAAACATCAAATACAAACTTCTGTCTTTAATGTTTAGAGAAGATGAAGACAAGCTTTCCAGTATAGCCCAGTCTGATTAACATCCACCTAAACTTGTCAGTTCACTATAGGAGAAAAAAATCCTGGATCATACTTGAAATTTGGTTTTAGAGAAATTATTTAGTGGGTTTTTTGTTGTTTTGTTTTGTGTTTTTTGTGTTTTGTTTTTTTCCTTTCTTCTTAACCTACTAGACATACCCAGGACAATTTAATTATTCTTAACAACTATAAAGGAAAAGGTACTGACTTATGGCATTCATAAAAACTGTACCTTTTAAAGGATTGTTTTAATATATTTTATGTAATTTTAGGAAAACTTCCATATAATAATGGAAATTGTCACACAGTCTATGAGACTGACTTCGTGATTTTTTATTCTCCATGCTAGTTTGGCAAATAAATCCACAAGCTGCAGAAACTGGGTAACATGAATAATCAGGCCAGTTCAAACCTTACGGATTTAACTGGAAATGATTTAACTATCCAATCATTTTTAATGGGTTAAAAAAGAAATTATACACATACAGAAAAATTAACTTCTTTGGATTTGAATGATGTTTAAATATATGCACTATGTACATAAAATCTTACCAATAAAACCTGTCAGTATCTAACTACACTACTTACCTTTTACAGCAGAAGACTAATAAACATTATAGCTACAGGTTCAGGGAAGAGGCTGAGATATGGACATTTTTCTCTTCCTAGGCATGATTTCATGTGTGATTTTCAACAAAAAATAGCTATTCATTTTAGAAACAAGTTACTAATAAGTTGTCTGGATCGAATTCATTAATTCCAAGGCCTGAAAAGAGACAGGGCTTGGAATCAGATTTAATAAAATTTGTATCTTGCACACTGTTCTTGTGAAATTTCCATTTCAAAATAACTTTCCCATTAGCTATGTTAAAATGCCATATTTCAATGTCCAATATTCTCAATTATGCTTTTTCTAGCCAGATGGATGATTTTATCCCAGGAAGGGCCAGCGAGGCTTTTCTCATGCTTCACCATTAGCCATCACTCGTCCCTTGACACAGGGAGTGGGGAAACGCTTCAGAATTACTTCAGAATTACTTCAAAATTACGTTAATTTTGAAATTAAATGTTTCAACCAGCTGCTTTGTATTTTAAGGTTTACCCGTAGCAGGGGACCAGCTGGAAGAGGTAGGAACCAGCACCAAAGCTGCATGGTGCTGTGCTACACTCATGCACCACCTTGCAAAAAGCTCAGGCTAACAAGAAAACAGCTTCTGCCAAGCCAATTTGGTCATCAGTATAAATATGCCCATATATTTGTGCTGCTGCAACTTTATCTGTTCTTTATCATGCAAGTTATTAGCAGGCATCCTTAGAAATGCGGATTAATGTCATCAGCAGAAGATATGGCAAAGAAAACACTCATGTTCATCTTTATTGCCTAAGTTATTCATTTATTTTACTTTC